CTAATTTATCTCTTGGCACGGAGATTCAGACTCAAGAATAAAGTTGCCTCTTCCAGGTCTAGGTGTATTACCAACCTCCCAGGCCAGTTCTGATTTAAAACAGTGACAGTGACACACCCTAGGAACCCACCCACTGGGTGGGCTGCGTACCTGCCTTCCCCTCCCCCACCCCATGGGCATGTTTAGAAACTGCAGGTAAAGGCCTGCTGCAGACACAAGAAGGTAAACTGAGTCCCAGACAGCCTGGGACAAGGCATAGCAGGCCCTGCGAGGAGGTGCCTCTGCTTACCACCCTGACACTGGCTGCCTTCAGAGTCAGGGGTTGGGAGACAGAACATTCTGGACCAGGCCGTCAGCTCCTCCTCGCTCCCCACATGACATACCTGAGGGCAGGGCACACAGCGGAGGCCACATAGGCTGAGGGGCCGGGGATGGGCAGGAGTGGATGGCACTGCCTGAGCTGCCCGGTGGGGCTGGGTTTGAGCCTGATTAGAACTGGCTTCCCCAGGCTTCGAGGGGTACCTGCCCCTTACCCTCAGTGTGGGAGCCCAGGCTGGTGTGGAGCAAGGTGGGGACGGCAGCCCGGCCGGTCCAGCTCCGGCAATCCTAGGGCTGGGAAAGGGCTGTGGGCCTTGGCCAGCAGAGGACCAGGAGCAGAGACAGAAAACAAAGTGCGCACAGCATGGCCACCACCCGACAGATCTTTCTCAGAGGATATAAGGCAACAAAGAACAAAGACAAGGTGGGCATCTCCTGAACCGCTCACCACTCCCTCCCGAGGGAGGTGCAGGGACACACACACACACACACAGGCACAGGCACAGTATCTGGTATCACACACACACACACACACACACACACACACACAGGCACAGTATCTGGTATCACACACACACACACACACACACACAGGCACAGTATCTGGTATCACACACACACACACACACAGGCACAGTATCTGGTATCACACACACACACACACACACACACACACACACACACAGGCACAGTATCTGGTATCCTGAAGCCAAATAAAGACTAGTCCCCTCACAGCATGAGGAGTGGCCCAGAGATGGGGGGAGGGGGCGTAAGGGGGGTGGCTGGGGGCGGGGCTCCCTGCAGCAGCTCTGCTTTGATTGACAGCTGTCACAGGGATGAGCCGATGGGGGTGGGCTCCGGGCTGGCGGCAGCAGCTCCACTTTGGTTGGTTGCTGTCCCAGGAACTCTGGGCACAGCTTCTTGAAAAGTTCCATCCACGAAGAAGCCCCAAGCGCCACGGGGGGTGTGGACGGGGCGGTGCCACCTCTTCCTCCTTCAAGTAAAGTGCGGGCGCGCACAGGGGCTGCTGTCACTGCCAGTCCGTCACCAAGAACTCACGAGACCCTCAGCACGGACACATCTCTGCTTATCCTCTTCTGCTGCTGCTTCTTTTCAAAAGAAAGCCACCTGTGCAGAAGTTCTAGACCGACGTCTCTGATTGCAAGCGAAGAACAAACTTGTGGGCCTTGGGGTCCAGGAACTCCTCGGAGAGGACGGTGAAGGGCATTTCCTTCACGCTCACCACCAGGCTGAAGTCCAGGCACTTCAGGACAAACACCATCCCGTCCCGCAGCCCGCTCGTCACTGCCTCTTCGCTGACCAGCCTCCACTGCGTCGCCAGCCAGCGGTCCCTGTCGTACTGCAGCGTGGGGCCTGCGCTGAGGTATCGTTCTAGAAACGCCTAGAAGCAGAGAGATGGTCTTAGGAGGCGACCCCTGCTCCTGGGATCCTGCCACTGGACTCGGAGCTGGAAGGATGTCCCCACCAGAGCACACCAGTGCACCAGAGTGCACAGCCCAGTCATGGTGGGAGCGGGGGTGGGGGTACTTGCACACCCCTCGGCTACATCAACCAGGGGGGCACTCAGTGAAAGCCAGATGCATGTGTGCTGTACACACGGGCATGCCTCACCGCCAGTGGTCACATGCCAGGTCATTTCCTGCATGCAAGTAGCTTGTGGGCTGGGGGAGAAGGGTGGAGGGCCGGCTTCCTGAGAGCACTCACGCCCTGAGGTCAGCAGGTCTGCACAAGCACTGGTTTCTTATTTATTGTGTTGTAGTCGTCTGTGTGTGTGTGTGGGCTTATTTATTGTGTTGTAGTCGTGTGTGTGTGTGTGTGTGTGTGTGTGTGTGTGTGTGTGTGTTGGCCCTGGGGCTTGAGTCAGAGTTCTCACTCAGCTTTTTCTGCCCAAGGCCGATACTGTACCACTTGAGCCACAGCTCTACCTCTAGCTTTCTAGTGGTTGATCAGAGATAAACTTCTCCCTGACTGCCTGGTTGGCTTCAAACCTTGAACCCCAGAGATCTGCTTCCTGAGAAGCTGGAGTGAGCAACCAGCCCCTGGCTTGAGTGATGGTTATTTTTATGTTGGACTGGCTAAGCCAGGAGACAGCCAGGCAGTGCCCCGACTCCACGCCACCTTCCTAAGGTCACTTTGCATGTCTCTCCTGGGGCGGCTGCCAGGCTTGGGTTGGTGCGGAGGCTGGGCGTGCCTGGGGCCCAGCAGGTGGCGCTGTGTGCGCAGGCGGGCAGTCCACGTCTAGGTTATCCTCTGTACCAGTGCAAGGCAAGTACTACGCACAGACACCTTATACTGCATTGCTCAGCAAGCACTGACAGGGTAAGCCTGTGGGCTTCCCCCCACCCCTGACTATTTTCCACCTGTGCTTGGACTTCTGGATGTGGAACCTCCAGAACTGGAGGAGAGGAAGAACAGGCACGGGTCAGCTTCTCCATTAGCTCCCGGTGGCCAGCAGGACAGATAAACACAGTCCCTATTGTAAATAGGCAGCTAATATTACAGGTGTGTACACTTGTTACATGTGTGCACTGTATACTAACACCAAGCCATACTGCCTAGCACATGTTACATACTAAGTAATACTCTTCTCTCTTCACAAAGACAGAACCAGTGTAAATAACTCATTTGCAACACCAGACAATTCAGTGATGAAGCCAGGATTTGAACTCACTGTTCCCTGAAGTCTGTGAGATTCTTATCTCCAGTTAATAAGCAAAAAAACCCAGAAGTAGTGGCAGAATTCCAACTTTGAGAGAAATGCTAAGACAGGGCCTGGGCCTTGAGTTCAAGCTCTAGTCCTGGTGTGTGTGTGTGTGTGTGTCTGTGCACATGCGCACATGCGCGCACACACACACACACACAGAAGAACTGAGCTACTAGTGTGACTTCTAATCATTATTCTACAGTTAGGTCCAGGTAGAATGCTTCTCCTGATGGAATGCAGAAGCCTTCAGAGGCCCACTCAAAAACAATCGCACAGTGGTGATATTTGCACATATGAAATGTGGAAGAACCGCTACCTAAAATCCTTCGGTGTTTTGAGGGCAGCCTGTGACTTTATCGCTCCCATGCTACTTTCACACCCGTAAATCCCCAAATTAAAAAATGCCCCCAAACCCAAAACTTTCTTGAGCATGAACACAATGCCCCCAGTCTGATCTGAGGTGCACAGCAACAAACTACTGCGTACACGAAAGGCTTGGGAATATTGTGCAAAAACCACCTCCAGGCTATGTGGATAAAGTCCGTATAAAGAGCTAGTGAACTGCACATTTAGACTGGGGTCTCATTCCCAAGACATCTCATTGCATATGCAGAGGTGCCTGAGTGCTTCTCTTGAGGAGCGAGCCTGCTGGGGGGGGGGAGGGGAAAGGGAGGGAGGGGAGAGGGAGGGAGGGGCGGCCGGCCCACGCACCTTGGGCGTCATGCTGTGGGTGATGCAGAAGGTCAGGTGCTGCAGGATGCCCTCCATGCTGTGGCAGTGCTGCTGCCGCGTAGTACGCAGGTACTTCTGCAGCGCTCGGGCCATGGACGGGAAGATGGCCTGTGCCGCCTCCCTTGGGTCCATCACCTCTCCCGGGGCCTTCTGCTGCTCCTCGGCCTGGAGACGCTGGATGTGGAGGAAGGCCTCTTCCACGGCCACCACCAGCCTGGAGGGAGAGACACATGTGAAGGGGAGGCCTGCAGCAGGGCCCAGCTTGAGAGCGGGCCTGCAGGCCGCACAGGGCCGCTGGCCCTCCCGCTATGGCCTGTTCTACCACCAACCTGCCCACGCTGCTCCCAGCCCTGGCTGCTGACCGAAGGCAGAGGGGGAGAAAGAACGCAAGAGCAGGCACAAGATGAAAGATGAGCCACCACAGGTGGCTCCTGCCTGTAATCCCAGCTGCCCAGGAGGCTGAGATCGAGGACTGTATTTCAAAGCCAGCCCAGCCAGAAAAGTGCACGAGATTCTTATCACCACTTAACCACCAAAATACCAGAAATGGAGCTGTGGCTCAAGACGGTAGAGTATGGGCACAAAAAAGAAAGGAAGGAAGGGGCCCGTGCCTGGCTCTCCGCTTCTTCACCCGCCGCTCATGCTCTGCCTCTTCGTAGTACAGCTGGTTGTGGCTGGAGTCCCTGCGCCGTGCGGCTGCAGCAATCATCGCACGGGACTGGCCTGTGGTGCTGTTCGCCGGGCCTGGTGGGGGAGGAGAGCAGAGGGGACAGCTTTAGAGCCCATGCCAGAGACACCGCACAGACACCGGCGCCAGCGTCTGCAGGTCCAGCTGCGGCGCCGTGGTGTGCACAGGTCTCCTCGGGCCACCTTGCAGGAGCCCAGCACTGGAGCCCACATCCCACAGCCAGGCCTCCCTGAGCCCCAGCCCTGTGGGGAGGGGTGAGGAAAAGACCCCATGGGGAGAGCTCAAGACAGGGAATGAGGCCCAGGGACAGGAGTGTCACTGACCATCTGCTTTACAAGCCTCCGGTGTGGCCATCGGGGCAGCTGGGCTTCAGAGTTCAGGAAACAATGAGAATGTGCAGGATGGAGATCAAGACAGAGGAAAGAGGAAGTCGAGGGACCTGCTAGCCAGGGTGGGGGCAAGCGGGCTGGATGTCACCTGCTGCGACTCACAGAGAAACACCAGTACCTGAGGACGTGCAAAATGGTCTACTTATGTACTTCACTGTTCTGTGCCAGTACTGGGGCTTGAATTCATGGCCTCATCTTCTCACTTGGCTTTCCTGCTCAAGGCTGGTGCTCTATCACCTGAGTCACAGCCCTACTTGCAGCTTTTTGCTGGCTAATTGGGAGATGAGTTTCATGGACTTTCCTGCCTAGGCTGACCTTGAACACAATCTCCAGATCTCAGCCTCCTGAGTAGCTAGGATTACAGGTGTATGCCCCAGCTCCCATTTCAAAAACATAGAACATGGAACTTGCGTCTCATCCCTGACCGCTGGCCACCTCCACGTGCCAGGAAGGCCAGGCAGAATGCCCTGCTTCCCCGTAGGGGATCTGCCTATCGGGTGACTTGTTTCACCAGTGGAAATCTGCTAGGTTTTCAGGTCACTTCAGGATTCACGTCTGATATAGAAAATACTCAAAAAACTCACGGAGGACATGGTCACCAACCCTTTCCGTGTGAGTGGACAGCGCAATCCTGCTGAGTCTCCAATGCTCTCGCCCTGAGCCGATGAGCCCGGCAGGACATGACACCGTGTCTTGTTTCTCGATCTTTACCACCTGATATCTTGAAACTAAGCCTGTGCCCGCGGCCTCCTGCCACCCTGTCACCTCTTGCTGGGACTCGGAGATGGCATGCCAGATGCCAGAGCTACTGAGATTTCTAGGCTTGATGGACATGGATAGCGCTCAGATTCTTTAGGTGTTATCCCCATTTTGAAAAGTAGCCCTTTTCTTTTTGTGTGTGGGTGTGGGTGTGGTACTGGGGCTTGAACTCAGGGCCTTGTAATCCCTTGGCTTTCTTATTGAAAACTGGCACTCTACCACTTGAGCCACACTTCTACTTCCAGATTTTTGGTGGCTAATTGGAAATGAGTCTCATGAACTTGCCTGCCTGTAACTGGTTTTGAACCACAGTTCTCAGATCTCAGGCTCCTGAGTAATTTAGGGTCCACAGGTGTGAGCCACCAGAGCCTGGCTCCTAGGAGCTTTCATAGCAGGTGAACCCAGCAGGAGTCAGAAACTATGCTAGTTATTGTTTTCAATCAGAAATTCCCCACAAAGGCAGAGTGTCAACCAATTACCCTCCTTAAGGAAAAAAAGAGAAAGCTCTAAGCTTGGAAAGGACCCCGGGTCTGCTCGTCCACGCACCGTCCACATCGTAGACCTTCAGGCCGGCCATGTGCTTGGCTGCTCGGAACTTGGAGGCTGTTAAGAGGTTCGGGTTATAGATGGAGAAATCTTTGTAGTAATTTTCCAGAACCACCAGAGCTGCTCGCTGGATGCTGAGAAAAGAGGGTAGAGTTAAAGCAGAGCTTCTCCATGGACTCAGCAGATTCAGGAGTCCAGGGGTGGGAGGTGAGAAGGGGAGACTTCTGAGGTTGCGCGTGCACGAGCGCACGAGCGCACGCGCGCACACACACACACACACACACACACACACACACACGTCTCCAGGGTGAGAATGTGGCTCACACCTAGAGCTTATAATCCCTGTCATCCTAGCTTCTCCAGAGGCTGAGATCTGAGGATCACAGTTCAAAGCTAGCTCACTCAGGCAGGAAAGTCTGCCAGACTCATCTTCAGTTAAAGAACAAAATGCCAGAGGCGGAGATATGGCTCAAGTTGAAGAGCACCAGCCATGAGCAAAACTCCCAAGCAAGAGGGCAATGTCTCTTTTCCCTGAGGGTGGAGTCATTACTTCCAAGAGGGGGTGGGGGGCAGGTAGGATCCCTACTAATAGTAGGGAAACAGCAGAGCCTAAGGCAGGATATGCTGGTATCCTGGAACCTGCCTGATTTGGGGGGGGGGCAACAAAAGAATGAGGAAGTGGTAAGGACAAAGGAATGCAGAACTAAGCCAGAACTGCCAATCCTCCCTGCCACAACCCTACCGGAAACAAGAGAGGAAACCCACGGGGCAGAAAGCCATGCTGGAGGACAGAGACTCTCCTGGTTTAAGCCCAGGCCCTGCTTTGTAACAAGGTAGGTGGAAGTGGGGGTAGCTGCTCATATCTATGCCTCATGCTCTCTCTGCTACATTTCTTTTCTAATAAAAACCTATGGGCTGGGAAGGTGGCTCAGTGGTAGAGTGTTTGCCTTGCATGCCTGAGGCCCTGGGTTAAATTCCTCAGCACCACATAAGCAAAAAGAAAAAAGCTGGAAATGGCGCTGTGGCTCAAGTGGTAGAGCACTAGCCTTGAGCTGAAGAGCTGAGGGACAGCGCCCAGGCTCAGAGTTCAGGCCCCACGACCGGGCCCCCCCCCAAAAAAAACAAAAAAAAACCTATCATCTTAAAAAGAAAAATGAGATTAGTAAGATCACTTATTTCAAAGTGCTTGGTCCAAGTACAGTTCTAGCTACCCAAGAGGCTAAGATCTGAAGATCATAGTTCAAAACCAGCCTGAGCAGCAAAGTCTATGAGACTCTTATCTCCAATGAACCACCAAAACAAAAGAGAGCCTGAAGGAACTGTGGCTCAAGTGGTAGAGTGCCAGTCTTGAGTGAAAAAGCTCAAAGACAGTGGCCAGGGTCCGAGTGCAAGCCCTGGGACCAGAGTGTGAGCAAGTGTAATCAGTGCCACTGGGGACAGCCAGGCTGTCCCGTCCAAAGTAGCACCTACATCTACTGACCTTCTGCCTTTTAATTAAACTCATTTACATCTCCTGCCTTGTAATTAAACATCTGTCCTGCAGTTAGACTTGGGTTCGCTCACCCCAGTCCCACGCAGACTCTCAACAATGACCATGATGGAACTTAAGGGCACAAGAAGGGACAGGAGCGGGAGGGGGCCTGGCCTCTGGGACTCTGGAAGGGCAGTGCTGGGGTGGGGGACAGCGCCCTAGGTCTGGAGGCCAGGCACATGCCATCCCTCCCGCCCACGGAAGAGTGGATCGGCACCAGTGTGGCGGGCCAGGCTGGCATGGAGTCTCACAGTCACTTCCCGAGGCCACCGGGACACACAGATGTCCACACTGCCTGTGTCCTTGTACCAAGAGCGACTCAGCTTGAGCAGGAATTCCCAAGGGGGGAGGGGGCGCGGCTCTGCCCTGTGTACTGGGCTGTGCACAGGCGTAGGGTGTCACCAGGAAAGAAAGATAAGCCCACAGGTGTGAGGCCCACAGATCCATTTCCAGAGCTCCAAGGAGGACCGGATGGATGCCTTGGCAACCGGGGTCCCCTGCCAAGCTGCTGGGTCCCCGGGTCCTGCTCCACTCTCTCAACTATCCCTGGATAGTTTACATCAATGACGTGTAGTCCT